AAAGAAAGAAAGAAAGAAAGAAAGAAAGAAAGAAAGAAAGAAAGAAAAGAAAAGAAAAGAAATCACTACAACTGGCAAGTGACAAAGTCTGGATTCAAACCTAGGACTGCCAGGCTCCAAAACCTGCATTCTATCCAATGGGCTGCTAGGTCTAACTCAGCCCGTGCCCCAGTGAGCATCACATCCTCCCCGTGGCACAGGGAGAATTCTGGAAGATCTTCCTGGCTAGAGTCCAGCCGGTTCCAAACACAGCAGCTTTACCATCTCTTTCCCTCTGTACAGAAGGAGGAAGGTGCTCCGGACCAGGAGTCCAGATGGGCTCCGTGAAGCTCCATCGTCATTATTCCTAAATTTTAGCACTTATAGAGTGGTGACAGCCACATATTCCTTACCCACCTCACAAGTTTGTAGTGGTCGGATAGTGATGATGATAGTACTACTACTGACTTTCATAAGATGTAGAGTTACACCAAAGTAAGGCAGTAGTGATAATAGTGTGGAATGTGTAACCCCAGGGGCTCTGATTAGTCTTTTATCCCTCCACTGATACACTTTGCCTGACACTATTCTCTTGACCTTTCCTCCCACTCTCTCCTACATGAAGGCTGTGAGTAGCAAATCCAAACTTTACTGTATAAGGAATGGAAAACAGACCTGTTAGATGAAGGCATCCATTAGAAATGCGGGCCTGTCTTAAAGAAGCTATGGCTGGGGACTCCTCCCTTCGCAAGAACTTCTAGGTGAGGTCTGAGCAATGCAAATGACTGAAGTCTTTAATTCTGTTATGTAACATGTGCTGTCCATGCTTGGCTGACAAGATGGCAGCCCGTTGCTACTGCTACAGGAAAAGGAAGGAACAACTGCCTGGTTAAAACACGTGTTCTGATGACCTGTCAGATGGCGTAGGGGAAAGGACAAAGAGGAAACCGAGCCTCTCCCAAAGTTTAGGGCCCTTTAGAAACCTGTGTGAAACATGAATAGTACACATTGACATCTTTATTGGGTTTGTTTGCTTTTTAAATACCCTCTGACGCATGTTTAGTGAGGAGAGAAGCTGATAGGACATATAATGCCTGTTGGCCCTGAGCCAGGGGGAAATCACCACTCAGTGGTTTGAGTTCTCTGAAACTCACCGTACCACAAGACCCCACCCTCAGGCAGGAGGTCACACATTACAAACCTGTGACGGGGAAGTTACTAAGAATTGGCAAAGGTGTTCCGGAGGTCCTGTTGTTAAAGGTGATCATGGAGTCAACTTCAGTTGTCTTGCTAAAAATCAAAAAATAAAATAATTGCTTAAACATTTTCCCCTCTGAAATTATTTAAGCATCTCAGAGCAGATACTGAATGGGAAAATAGTTGGTGTTTCTGTGACTCAGTTACCCACATGACTTCATCTCGTGGATGATCAGCTCTAGCCACCCTAGTGGTTTTGTCCGTTGTATAGTCCTAAATCATTTCCCTTGCTTGGCAATATCTTTGTTGCTATGCCTTTAAAAAGTCGTGAAAGACAGGGCACCTGGATGGTTCAGTCAGTTGAGGATCCAACTTCGGCTCAGGTCACGATCTCGTGGTTTGTGAGTTCGAGCCCCACATTGGGCTCCATCGCTGGCACCTTGGAGCCTGCAGCCTGCTTCCGATTCTGTGTCTCCCTCTCTCTCTGCCCCTCCCCCACTCACACTCTGTCTCTCTCTCAAAAATAAACATGAAAAAATTAAAAAAAAAACAAATTAATGAGGAACATACAGTGATGGTTCTCCTAAAGATGATCTTCACCAGATCTTAGGTGCCATTAATCTGATCAAAATGTATACATAACATCTGTCTCTTGTTCTAGTCAATGTTGCTGCTGTTTATTGGAGTAAAGACTATTTACCCCGCAATGTATTGTGTGAGAAGAAATGATTATAAGTTGCAGCTGGAAATCTGTCATTCCTTTTCATCTAAATATGAAACATAATGATTTTTAAAATAAACCAGGACATTTTATACAATCCAAATGCAAAAATTCTAAAGATTCAAGAATTAAAACAGCAGGGTAATGTTTTTCCTGTTATTGATGCCATAAGTATCACATAGGTAATTTTTCCCTGTATTTTTAAAACACATATTTTAAATATTTTTCAGTGATATATAGTATTTAAATTTGAGTCAATAGATCATCTTTGTTCTTACGGATTAATCTGAAGTAAATGAAACAGCATGCATTACTTGGGAAACAGGGAAATACATCTTGATATTTTGAAAGATTTGTACTAAAAGGGGCTTTAAGTCACTTCAATAGCATATCTAATATATGTATTTAAAATCTTGTGGTTATATAACCATGAAAAACATGATGAAGTTATCTTAAGCAGGTCTTAGAGGCTTTACAAGATTGCATCTTACTGTGAAAGAAGTTCAAGAGTCAAAGTCATGGAAAAGCTGAAAGGGGTGGGGCGAGGCTGTATTCATTTTCTCTGAGTGATGTAAGAAAGTACCACAAACGCAATGGCTTCCAGCAGCAGAAACGTCTTTTCTCATGGTTCTGGAGGTTAGCAGTCCAAAATCAAGTTGTCAACAGAGATGGTTCCTCCCAGAGACTCTGAGGAAAGAAATGTCTCGGTCTGTCAGCCTTCATCTCTAGGAAATCCCGGGCATTTCTTGGCCTATAGATGTATCACACCAATCTCCACCTCCAGCTACATACCACCACCTTCTCTGGGTCTCTGTGTGTTCTTTTCTGTCTCTTATAAGGACACTTTCTTTGGATTCAGAGTCCACCCCGATACAGTGTAATCCTTAAGTAATTACATGTGCAATGCAGAGGCCCTCTTTCCGTGTAACATCACATTCTGAGGCTCTAGGTAGGCGTGTATGGGGGAGGAGGGGTGCAGGGGGAGCCATTCAACCCAGAAGCTTTCCACTATGACATCTCCAGTGTGAGCGGAATTAGAATTCACGGTCAAATTCCAACCCAGAGCCTTGAACGTGATCTTAATTTCTGCCTGGACCTTCTCTCCTCATTCCAGGCCCCATGCTTCAGCCTCCTCTCAGCCTAGCTGACTTCTGCTGGACCTCAGACCCCTGGTTCTTCCTGAAGGAAACCTTTCATGTTCACATCCATCCCCAAAGCAGTCCAGGCCCTCTTTTAGAAGTTTCTGAAGTAACCTGTGCTTCTGTTGGAACATTCTTCATATAATTAATATCATTTTAAAATTTATAGAATATAAATTCATATTATATGTTTTTATTTTACATATCAATATTTTTAAATATTTACCTAGTAGCTAATAAATTTTATTAAGATCTATTAATTTTTATCTTGCTGTTTTGTTATATAAAATTTTATTTCTGTGATAATATACAATTTATAATATAAATGTTATGTTAAAAATATAACCTGTTACATTATGTCGATTATGTCAATGATATATAATGTCAATATAACAACATATATTAATATATAACAATGATATATAATGTCAATATAACATTAACAATAATATGTTATATTATTGACATAATATAATTCATAATATACTATAATAATTATAGAGTTAATTATAAAATTGGCACATTAATTTGTAACATTAATTATAGGTTCACTGTGAAATCTATGAGGGCAGAAGTCAACTACCTTATTCTATTCTTTGTCAGCACTGAGCCAGCATGCCTGCTCTGCATATTTTGAGCCTTATTCTCTGCATATCATCTCCTTAATTTTCAGAGAAAATCTTTTCCTTGGCACGACTGAGTCTCTTGTGTCTGCTACTAAATGCCTCATGGGAAGCCCCCTTTTGGGGGGTGGGGGAGTAGTTGTGTGTTTTTTTATCTTCACCTCCACATTCATTCATGGAAGCTGGGGAGTGATTTATGGTTGGATTCGGTGTTATCAGAGAGGTGTCTTTGTGTTGTCTTGAAATCCAAGGCAAGGCATTTTAAATACAACTTCATTAATTGGCCCTGTTAAGATTTAAGAAAAGAATGAAATCTGAAAACCCACTTTTCTTACTTGTTCTTCCTGTAAGTTGCTTTTTGTCTTGTTTTCCTTCTATTCCTCACCTCTGCCCTAGAGAGAGAGAATTGGGACATCTAAACTTTAAAAACCAGACTTTTTAAAAAATGTTTATATTTATTTTGGGAGAGAGTGCATGTACACGGTGGGGGTGGGGAAGCAGGGCAGGAAGTGCAGAGAGAAAGGGAGAGAGAGAGAGAATCCCAAGCAGCCTCCGTGCTGACGGGCTCCATCCCACGACCACAAGATCAGGACCTGAGCCAATACCAAGAGTCAGACACTTCACCCACTGAGCCCCCAGGAGCTCCCGGACATTTTCCTTAGACCGGAACTGTAGACTCTGATGTGGAACTTAAGCCACTTGAAAGAGTCTGTGAGAGTCCCCTTTGGACTTTGCTTCATATTTACATTTATGTCTTGAAGATATTTCTAGTGAAATTGGGCCTTATAAGCTTTGTGCCTGATAATGTAAAGATTTCTCCTTTTTCAGTTCTTGAAGAAACAGCAGTATTGAAATTTGCCACCCATCTGCTTTGTCCAACAAAGCTTTTCACTCTCTTAAGTCATCTAAGAGATCATGTCCTTTTGCCCAAAGCCAAAGTACCAGGAAGGGCCCTTCTGAGAACAGGCGATGCCGACATGTCCATCCTTTGAGAAGTTGAACAGGGAAAGTAAACACCTCTCATTTGATGTTCTCAGTACACCATAAAAGCAAATTTTACAAGACTGCAGTTAAGTCTCTTTAGAAGGAAATCTCTGAAGAGAACTCAGGATGCAAGGTGTTAACAGCAAAAAAAACCCTCCTAGTTATTGAGAGTTGCTGTATTCTCTGAAATATGGTGTCCTGGGTCTTTCCCAGAGCCCACGTGGAGCATATGGGTGCCCTGACCCCTGATGACTGCTGTCCTCATAAAGCTCCAATCTCTGTGAAGAGTGGGTGTGGTTTGGTCCCCAGTTTGGGAAGCCAGAACAAGCTAAGGTACCCCTTTATCTGTGAGAAATACTTGAGTCTAAAGGGAACAGTGCCACAATGGAAAACTCTCATATTTTCTTCCCCCAGAGATTCAAGAAGGTCCTCTGGTCAATGCTTTTGTTTCCCTCACTTCCAGACTCTTCCAGATCACACTTCCTGGTGTGCAATTCAAGAAATAACTTTTTGGGGTATTTGTTTTTCCAGGCGGCCCATGGCTCTGATTTTGTTTTTGGATGTTTTCTGTTTGCTCGAGGTTGGAGGGTTCCAAGTTTAGCATGTGCTGTCTGCCAGCTATTTCCTGTTGAGAACTCTTGGTAACAAAGTGAGCTGCTAATATTCTAAAACATGCTTGTGACTCAAATACCCACACCTGTGTGCACCTCTCACAAAAGTAGAGATGCTGGCTGTTCATGCTGGGAGTGTTTTCCCCTAGAGTTGAAATCATGTATCTACAGAGACCCTCTCTAGACATTTAAAAAATATCATAATGTTTGACTGTCTAATGGCATTGTAATATGTTGAAACGTTTAATATTAAAACAACTGGGCTTTTGAAATCCCTGCCTCAGAAAAGTAAAAGATGCCCTTTTAAATTTTTTTTTTTTTTTTAAACGTTTATTTATTTTTGGGACAGAGAGAGACAGAGCATGAACGGGGGAGGGGCAGAGAGAGAGGGAGACACAGAATCGGAAACAGGCTCCAGGCTCTGAGCCATCAGCCCAGAGCCCGACGCGGGGCTCGAACTCACGGACCGCGAGATCGTGACCTGGCTGAAGTCGGACGCTTAACCGACTGCGCCACCCAGGCGCCCCAAAGATGCCCTTTTAAAGGAGGCAACAGAACCAAAAGGGAGAGTTGTTGTCCAGTTATCTGTGACAAATGGCAGAAAGGTAGGTCAGAGAGAGAGGATGCTGAGAGAGGGGCAGCGTTCCTGCTCGTGCACACATGCATCTGATTTAATCATGGCAGTTGCCCATGTCAGCGGCCCACATATTTTGCAGAGTTTCAGGGGTCAGCCCATCTCACAGCGTGGTTGGTTGGGATAAGCAACCTCCCAGGCTCCACCCTGAGTCCTGGGTCAGTTCCAGGACCTCTGGGACCATCCTCGGGGTTCAGGTCAAGCCAGAGAGCTTGCAATTTCTCCGGGAGTTGGAGGCTGACCCCAGCCAGATGGACATGGAAGCAAAACAAGAGGCCACCCTTGGTCTGTGTTTTGAAAGACATGTGCCTTTCTCTCTCTGGCAGAGAATATGGCCTGCAATTGGCCACAGTCCATGCTGATTGCCTATATGAGCCTGATCCCCCACAGCACACACACACCCCTTCTTCTCCATGGAACCACATAGTCCACGAGACCCCCAGAACGCCTGTCTTTGAGGGGCACCTGGGTGGCTCAGTTGGTTAAGTGTCTGACTCTTGATTTCGGTTCATGTCATGATCTCACGGTTCGTGAGATAGAGCCCCAAGGCAGGCTCTGCGCTGACAGCACGGAGCCTGCATGGGATTCTCTCTCTCCTTTTTTCTCTGCCCCTCCCCACTTCGTGTGCTCTCTCTCTCTCAAATACACTTTAAAAACAATGCCTCTCTGTGAGGGCTCTGTGTCTAACACACGTTTGCTCTGCCTTTTCAGATCTTTGGTTTTAGAATAATTTCTGACTCTGCCTATCCTTGTGAATTTGGTTTCTCCAGAACCCATTCCCCTTGCCCCCACCTGGACTTGACTGTGGTTCTCTCTGCTTCATTCAGACCACAGAATCTGACCACTCCCTTCTGTGAGTTTGCTTTTCATCCAGGACAATGTCAGCAGACCAGTCTAACAGGCTGACCTACGATCACCTAGCAAATTTCTGAAAGGGAAAGGGGCTAGCACTGGTATTTATTATGTACCACATGGGAAACCAGCCCACGTAGTCCATTATTCTATTCAATCCTCCCAATGACCATAGGTCTACAAGACTCAGGGGTCAGTCTCTGAGGTTTAATGTCCTGCCCAAGGGCCCAAAGTGGCAGTGCTGACACCTGAACCAAGCATAATCTTGCTCCAAATACTTGATACTGAGATGAAGTTTGGTGAAGTTGTTTAGGTATTGAGTGAAGAGAGTCTAATCCAAAGGAGCACCTTTGCAAAAGGAGCCTCTTGCCCTTTGGTTTTTTCCTGCCATCAGCAAACAGGTTTAAATGCCGATCATCCAACTTGACTTCTCAAGAATGCTCTGCTGGCTGCTTCTGTACCCAGATTAGCTGAGTCCTACGCATCCCTCACAACCTTTTTTGGCTACTGTTATTTCCTATCACCTCCTTTTTGGGACATACTTTGTTATTTTCTTTATATTGCCCTCACTCACGCTCTCCAGGAAGCAGATGCTGAGTTA